TGCTCCCATGCCATTTGTTTGTTGCTGGTGCTTGGCTTCAAAATTTGCATACAATAGGTTTCTACCAGTCAAAACATATCTTTGCTGCCACCCACATGTGCTGGAGAACCTCTTGAATTGCAAGCCTAATACTCTGAATCGCAAGCCTAATACTCTGAATCATGAAGAACTGTTTGAACACATCCAACTGAACTCCCATTACTTTATCATTGTAGGCAGACAAGAAAGTACAGAGTAGTCTCTTGGTAGGAGTATTGCTGAAAAAAAAACCATTTTGTATATTTCCTCCTGTATTGATCAGAACCAAGATGTCCATTTACTAAGGTAAAGGGTGAACAATATTTAACTGCATGAAGAGTGCTGATTGGCAGGGGCAATGCCACAAAGAATGTATCAGTTAATGATGACTGCTTGTTAACTGTGAAGTTTGCTTGAAAGTTTAAACCAGGCAGTTTGACTCGTATTGATGAAATCCTCAGGATTAGTCACTGGAGCCAAAACTTTAACTCTGATTTGACTCCACGTGTTGCCAGACCTGCTGAGATTTTCCAGCAATTTCTGTTTTTGTTCCTGATTTCCAGCATCTGCAGTTTCTGTTCTTTTATGTAGTGAACATACATATTTGTTGTACCTTACAAACTGTCCTGATAGATGTAAACCAAAAAACTTCAACAAAATACTTTTTTTCCGAATAATACTAAATAGCAGAATGCCCCTCATACGTTTAAGCAGAGTTTCAACAGAATACTCAGGAACAAGAGGTAACCAAGAGGGTAGATGAGGGTAGGACAGTGGATGTTGTCTATATGGACTTTAGTAAGGCCTTTGACAAGGTCCCACACGGCAGGCTAGTCATGAAAGTTAGATCGCTTGGGGGCCAGGGACAGCTAGCTAATTATATTCAAAATTGGCTTGATGGTAGGGAGCAGATGGTGATGGTTGAGGGTAGTTTCTCGGACAGGAGGCTCGTGACTAACGGTGTGCCACAGGGATCGGTGCTGGGGCCTTTGTTATTTACATAAATTATCTAGATGTGAATGTACAAGGCATGATTATTAATTTTGCTGATGATACAAAATTAGGAGGTATCGTTGATAGCAAAGAAGGTTATCAAAAATTACAAGGGGATCCTGATCAGATGGGAAGTGGGCTGAGGATTGGTAAATGCAATTCCATACAGATAAGCGTGAAGCGTTGCACTTTGGTAAGTCAAACCAAGGTAGGACTTCTACAGTAAATGGTAAGATCCTGAGAAGTGTTGTGGAACATAGCGACCTAGATGTACAAGTACATAATTCGTTGAAAGCAGTGTCTCAGGTAGACAAGGCATTTAGCCTGCTGGTCTTCATCGGTTGAGGCATTGAAAATGGGAGTTGGTGGGATGTTATGTTACCATTGTTTAAGGTGTTGGTGAGGCCATACTTGGGAGTATTGTGAAAGTTTTGGTCACCCTTATAGGAAAAGTGTACGAAGAAGATTTACGAGGATGGTGCCAGAACTAGTAGGCCTGAGTTATAGGCAGAGGTTGGCGAGGATAAGACTTTATTCCTTGGAATGTAGGAGAATGAGGGGTGACCTTACTAAGGTGTATAAAATCATGAGGGGCCTAGGTAGGATGAATGCATATAGTCTTTTTCCCAGGGATGGGGAATTAAAAACTAGAGGGCACAGGTTTAAGGTGAGAGGGGAAAAGTTTAAGAAGAACCTGAGGGGCAAGTTCTTCATGCCCAGAGTGGTGTGTATATGGAATGGGCTGCCAGAGAAAGTGGTTGAGGCTGGTACTATAGCAACAATTAAAAAAAAACTTTTGGATAGGTACATGGATGGGAAGGGTTTAGACCATAAACCCATATGGGTTTAGAAGGATTATAGACCAAATGCAGGCAATTGGAACTAGCTGAGTGCACACCATGGTCAGCATGGACCAGTTTGGGCTGAACAGCCTGTTTCTGTGCTGTATTACTCTATGACTCTAATATGAAGCATTAACATCATTTACACCTTTTGAGTTAGTAGCTTAAAACATAATAGAACAGTACAGTCCTGAACGAGGTCTTTGGTCCTGTTGAGTTTGTGCTAGCTCTTGCCAAGAGTAATGCAATAAAATGTTTTAGCCACTCCTTGCGGGGCATTTTACTAGTACTGTGGGAAGGGCTTTAAAATAACTCGAGGCGGGTGTGGGAACCAAACAAGAATTGTAGAGAAGACTATCACAGTTCATAAAATACTTGGGAGATACTAAACTATTCTCTGCTAAGGTCAACTGTAAGTTAGAGTACAGAAGAAAGAAATAAAGTCAGGGTTATTGTGTGTATGTGAATACACGCACGATAGTAAATAATATTGGGTAATTAAAGGGACAAATTGCCACATGGAAGTATGATATTGTCATAACACAGACCTGGCTCAAGGAAGGGCAAGAGTGGTATTAAGTATTTCAAGGTACAAGATGTTCAGAAAAGAAGGGAGGGGAGGGTTTACAGTATTGGTTAAGGACGCATTGCAATGCTGGAGAAAGATCATGTTTCAGACAGTTCAAGGAGAGAATCAATATAAGTAAAGTGAAGGAATAAAAAAAAAATTACATTACTAGATGTAGTCCATGGGCTGCCAACTAGTGGGAAAAGTGTAGAGGGAAATCTGCACATAAATCAGAGAGATGCAAACATTACAATTATTCAGTTACTGGGATACTGGTACTGTATGGGGCAGTGACAGGAAAGCATCCTGGATTGTAATCAGCAGCATTTTCTACACCAATGTGTGTCCAGTTCAATAACAAAGGCTGCATTACTGGACCTGGTTCTTGGAATTAAGGTGGGCAGAGTGCATCAAGTATCAGTTGGTGAACACCTAAGAAAGAGTGATCATCATCACCTAAGGTATCAATAGAATGCTCCCCACTTGCATGGCTGAGTGCAGCTTCATTAAGACTCAATGAGAACAAAGCAGCCCACTTGATTGACACCATATCCACCCCTCCACTAGTAATGTTTAGTAACAGCAGTGTGTACCATCTACAAGATAAACTGCAGAAGTTCACCAAAGATCTTTAGGCAGCACCTTCCAAATGTGACCAGTAACCATTTAGAAGGATAAGTGCAGCAGATACATGGGAACGCTACCACCTACAAATTCTCCTTCAAGCCACTCCCAATCCTGACTTTGAAATAAAGGCAATATAGTTCTATGTTGTTTAGAAAAAAAATCCTGGAATTCTCTCCTTAATGGCATTGTAGGTCTACCTACAGCCCAGATTTCACTTGTTCAAGAAGCATCATCTCACCATCATTTTCCAAGGGTAACTAGGGATGGGCAATAAATGCTGACCAGCCAGGGATACCCATGCCCAATGGGTGGAAAAAAAAAATTGGTGCAGAGTTGACTTCAATGAGGCAAAACAGAAGTGGAAGGATAGCCTAGAATGAGAGGTTGGCCGGAAAATCTGGAACAGATGTTTTGCTAAAAGTCATGGTCTACTCCCTCAAATGGGAAAAGGTACAGCAAAAAAATTCAGAGCTCTATGGATGATAAAGGAGGCAGAAATTATACAAAGTAAAAGTGTGCTTACAACAGGTGCCAGGCAGATATGCATTCCTTCTAGTTCTCAAATGTATTAAGAATCAGACAGGAGATAAATAAGGAAATAAGAGAAACAAAGAAAGATTATGAGAAAATACTGGCAGCCAACATACAGAGTTGTTCCAAAGTCTTCTATAAATATATAAATAGTAACAGAGTGGTAAAATGCGTACAGATGATTAGAGAGCAAACAGGAGATTTAAATGGAGTTAGACGATGTTGCGAGCTGTTAAATGAACACTTTTGTATCTGTCTTTAGGAAAGAGGGAGATGCTTCCCAGGCCATATCTCAAATTTTTCCCATAAAATTGCTAACAAATTGTTGGATAAACTATTGGTGTTTAAAAGTTGACAAAGCACTGGGAGGAACCAGAAAACTGGAGAACCACAAATATTACAGCATTACAGAAAGGTCTGATGGCAGAACACTGTTGATGTGGTATATGTTACAGCCCTCTTTGTAGGCATATCCAGAAGATTAAGATGCATATGATGCATCGTGACTTGGCCGCTTGGATTCAGAATTGGTCTGTCCTTAGAAGTCACAGGGTAGTAGCAGGCGGCTTTCAGGCTTCTAACTTAACATGAAGATGGAAAGACTTTTTTTTTCATCTTATGAATATTTAGCCAGTTCTTCTAGCTAAACCTAATCATTTTACTCTACAGCTAGACAATGAATGTAAGGGCCATACCTCGGTTTGTTTGCCAAAGCAGAAGGAAAATGTGGAGTAATCAATCACTTCTTAAGAAGTTGATGCTGTGTTGCAGCAAGGGAGTATCACAATGGCATATCAAAGAGGGTTGCACAAAAATTAATCTAAATAGTTACAGAGGTACAATACAGCATTAGACCATTTAACTCAATTGTTCTAAGCACCACATGAGCCTCCTCCCACCCCTGTTTATTCATACCAACACAATCTCAAACTTGACCTCTAGGCTCTTTTGCTCTCTCTGGCCTGGGCAACATCTCCCTCTTTGGTAAAGACAGATGCACATGCTCCTGCAGTGAGAAACTGTCAAACACATTTCAATAATATCTGCAAGTAAATGTTTTCTAACAACATTACTAAAATAAAAATACTTTTCATGCAGCACTTCCATATTTTCAGCAAGATTATAATTTAGCTGGGAAGTCTGTCATTCATTTGAAAAGAGGTTCTATCAACCAAGCAAGCTTGAGAACCATTCTTCTATTCCTTTATAGTTTTCACTTAAACCTAGCCACACTATTTATTTCTTTTTATCAACTGTGAGTTTCACATTCCAACTAGGTGCTGTGTAAGTTTCTTCGGAATTCCTTACTGGATTTATTAGGACTACCTTTTATTTTGATCCTGGTACCTAATTTCAGAAACAATTCAAGTATGAAATGTTGACCACTGCTGACCAATTGCAACCACAAAGATTATTCAGACTATTGTGTTGTAGTCTGTTTTATTTGGCTTAGTGATAAGTCCAGAACAAGTTTACAGCAGAATGAACTATGGTTTGATTTTCTGACCACCATAACATTTTAATCCCAAATTTTTGTCAATTAAACAGCCCTTCCCAATTATACAGTTTGTACAGAAATTACTATTTGTGAGCTATTTACAATAGGTCAACAATTTGCATACCCAAAGTTGAAAAATCATCTTGCATAACAATGTAAAACATGGATTAAATACAAAAGGATGTTGTTTTGGCAGATTAATTCTGTACTTATTATCCAATAGCACCGGTGGAGTGAAGTACAGCATCTTTGAAGAATTTCAGGCCAAACCATTTTTCTTTCAGTGGTAGTGCTTAGAAAAAAAATAAGTTATTTCTTTCTTGTGATGAGTTGCTGCAGTGTTATACTAAAGAACTAAGTTAAATACCTTTATTTCTACCCACATTCAAGTATATTATAGAAAATATATTTCAATACTGCACAGAGTTTATCAAGATTAGCTAATTTCCCCAAAGGTGTCATTATTTGTACATGCAAAAATCATTTTGCAGAATCAGTGTGAAGGAAACTTGAGCAGCAATCCCAAAATGCTTAAAAATGCTGTCACTAATTTAGGAATTAAAACAAAAACTCTCCTTAAGAAAAATATGAATTAATTCAATAAATATGGGGGTTAAAAAGCAGTGCTAGGCGTTTTGGCTCCACTGTCAAATAACAGCAAAGAAATAACTTGGAAATATGGGTTAGGCAAGATCACAGCAGAAATTTAAGTGGTTTTATGATTGATTTCAGACAATGTTGAAAATTAGAAGCACACATAGACTCTTGGATCTACTTGACCAAGAAAGCCAGAAGTGTTTCAATAATAGTTTACAATCTAAGCAAAGGATGAGTGTCTCCAAGAAGCCCACATGATCACCAAGATCTCTGCTGGTCTGCAATATTTCTGCATTGGCTTAAAAAAAAATACATCGTTTCTGGCACTCTATACTGATTAATGATTTCCACAATAATAACACTGTTTTGTCTTTTAGCATCTGACATTTTTCAGCATTCTCCAGGATCGTGCCAAAATTTACAAGATTCCCTCCCACTTATGAAAATGAGCACGCTACTGGAACCTTGCTAAAATTCTTTTCTGAATGTCTAAGATTCTTATAGGGGTGAATTAAACAGAATTAAAAAGAATCTACGGCTTTGTGCATTACATTTCAACCAAACATTCTGGAACATTCGGATCTCAATTTCTTGGGCTTGCCTTATTGGGGCAAAATAGATGATCTTGATCACAATGTACCCATTGAAACAAACTTAAGAGGAAAAGCCACCTTTGTTCATCGCCCTGAGTGTAAACCCAAAGAAAATAGGGCTGCACCTTACAATGAAGATGCAGCAGGTCTCAAGATGACAGCAGAATAAGTTATAAACATCTACGAATTTAAGGTAACAAAAAAAAGTATCATTTTGTAATTACATGATATTGACTATCATATTACATTATCACAGTTTATCTGGAACCTTCATTGAAAAAAGGTGTCAAAAATATTTACAAACAGAGCTGTACATATTTTTTTGCAGCAATATACAGATAATTCTCCATCTTGTACATATATTTGACAAATTATGAGCAGCTGCCAGTATAGTTCTACACTGCGAGAAGGTTGTTCATCTCCCACTTTTGTGTCATCTTTGCAGAGTCACAGTCAGAGATGAAAATCTTGTGATCAACTTCAGAGCGGTCCAAACACTTGCCTGTGGGAATGTGTGTGAACCTGTGCAAAGTCTGAAATAAAAAAAGGTAGACAAGCCACTATCAATCACACAGTCAAGTTGATTAAACTAGGCTTTCAGTCCAGAATTGGAATAAATAAAAACATCTACCAACTAGCCCCTCTCAAACAATTCCACCTAAAAAAAGTAAAGAGGTTGGTTGTCTGTTCACGCCACAGTTATCCATGGGATGCTATGGACACAGAATAGTTGCCATCTTCACTCCTGCAACAGTCAGACGGTTTTGCTTTACATTTAAGCAAGTCAGTTTGGTGTTTCTACTTTAACAGGCACAAATGTAAATGAAAGTACGCAACTGTAATGAACAATCGTACAGACCTAACTCATATTGGGGTTATAGAAAAAAAGAGAAAAATGCATAAAAATGAACTGGTGGGAGATGAGGGGATGGGAAAGAATGATACAAGGGAGGCTTCATAATTATCCCCAGCCCAGTAAATCAGGTGCAAAAGTCAAGAATAAAGCATTTTCAACCACATTCAGCAAGTCATGCTAAAGAGAAGGTCTGAAGGTGAATAAATCACCTGGACCAGATGGACTACAATCCTGAGGTCTGAAAGAGATAGCTGAGGAGATTGTGGAGGCAGTGATGGTGATCTTTACTGAATCAATGGAGTCAGGGAGAGTCCCAGAGGACTGTGAAATGGCTAATGTAACACCCCTGTTTAAGAAGGGAGGGAGGCAGAAGACAGGAAGTTATGGATTGGTTAGCCTGACCTCAGTCATTGGAATGATTATAGACTCAATTATTAAGGCCGAGATTGCGTAGTACTTGGAAGTGCATGGTAACATAGGGCAGAGTCAGCACAACTTGTCATGGGAGGTCATGCCTGACAAATTTGTTAAAATTCTTTGAGGAGGTAATGAGCAAATTAGACAAAGGAAAACCAGTGGACATGAGCTACTTGGATTTCCAGAAGACCGGTGACAAGGTGCCGCACAGGAGGCTGCTAAATAAAATAAAAGCCCATGGTGTTAGGGGATAGGTACTGGCATGGATGGAGGATTGGCTGACTGGCAGAAAGCACAGAGTGGGGATAAAGGGATCTTTTTCAGGATGGCAGCTGGTGACTGGCAGAGCTTTGCAGGAGTCAGTGTTGGGGCCACAACTATTCATTTTATACATCAACGATCTGAACGAAGAAATGGAGGGCATTGTCACTAGGTTTGCAGGTATGTGGAGGGACAAGTAGTGCTGAGGAAGCAGGGAGGTTGCAGAAGGACTTGGACAGGCTGGGAGAGTTGGCAAATAAGTGGCAAATGGAATACAATGTTGGAAAGTGTGAAGCTATGTAGTTTGGCAGGAAGAACAGAAGTTTCTAAATGAGGAAAGGCTGCTGAAATCTGAAGCACAAAGGGTCTTAGGAGTCCTCGTTCAAGATTCTCTTAAAGTTAACATGCAGATCAGTCAGCAGTCAGGCAAATTCAATGTTAGCATTCATTTCAAGAGTGTTAGAACACAACAGCAGAGATTGCTGAGGCTGTGTAAGGCTCTGGTCAGATCACATTTGGAATATTGCAAGCAGTTTGGATCCTGTATCTAAGGAAGAATGTTCTGGCATTGGAGGGGGTCCACAGGAGGGTTACAAGAATGATCTCGGGGTTGAAGAGTTGTTGTATGACGAGTAGTTGAGGACTTTGGGTCTGTACTCAATGGAGTTTAAAAGAATGGCAGGGGTTGTGGGGGGGGGGGGGGAGGGGGGGGGGTGACCTCATGGAAATGTACACAATTCTGAGAGACCAGGATAGAGTGGTTGCTGAGAATATTTTTCCACTAGTGGGAGAGACTAGGTGAAATGAGGTGGAATTTCTTCAACCACAGGAGTAGTAAATGTATGGAACTTACTGCCACAGAAGGCTGTGGAGGCCGAGTCACTGAGCGTATTTAAGACAGGGATAGATAGGTCCTCTATTGGTACGGGGATCAAGGGTTACAGGGAGAAGGCAGGAGAATGGAGTTGCGAAAGGCATTAGCCAAGAGCAGGCTCGATGGACATAATGGCCTAATTCTGATCTTACATCTTACGGTCTTCCAACGTTTGGCCCATAGCCTTGTGTCCCTTGGCATCACAAGTGCACATCTAAACATTTCTTAAATGTTATGAAGGTTTCTGCCTGAACTACCCTGACAGGCAGTGAGCTCCAGATTCCCAACACCCTCTGGGTTAAAAAAGGTTATCCTCACATCTGCTCTAAATCTTCTGCCTCTTACCTTAATTGTATGCTTCTGATCACTGATCCCTCCAAGGGGACAAGTTTTCCTATGTCCCTCATAACTTTGTACATCTCAATCATGTCCCCTCTCAATCTCCTCTGCTCGAAGGAAAACAACCCCAGTCTGTCCAATCTCTCTTATTAAAACTCTCCAGCCCAGGCAACATCCTGGTAAATCACCTCTGCACCCCCTCCCGTGCTATCACATTCCTCATACAATGTGGATTCCAGAACTACACACAATACTGTAGTTGTCCCCAATCAATATTTAAACAAAAACGAAAGTACAGCAGATGCTGGAAATCAGAAACAAAAGCAGAAACTGCTGGAAAATCTCCATAGGTCTGGCAGCATCTGCAGAGAGAAATCAGAGTCAGAGTCAACGTTTCGGGTCCAGTGATCCTTCTTCAGAACGTATATTAACAGAAATAATCAATATTTTATACAGTTCCAGTATAACCTTCAAGCTCTTAAACTCCGTGCTTGACCACTAAAGGCAGCTTACAGAATTTTGGAAGATGATAGCCAATGGATTCACTATTTCCACAGTCACCTCCTTTAGTACGCTGGGATGCACTGGAGATTTATCATCTTTCAGTTCCATTAATTTGTCCAGCTCTCTTTTTAAAAAAATAACTTATTCTAGGTTGAACTAATCATGATCCACTCCTCACCGGAGCAGAGGATTGAAAAGGCTAACAACACAGAACATTCTGCCTCCTAGCCATCTTAAAATGGGAGACTCCTTATTTTTAAACCATGTCCTCTGGTTTTGGAGGCCCCACGAGGGGAAACAAGCTTTTTTAAAGGTGTAACTTGTAAAACCTCCTCAGAATCTTGTGTTTAAATAAGATCAACTGTCATTCTTCTAAATTCCAATGAGTATAGACCCAATCTTCTGACCAGCTGTTTTACCACTTGACACTATATAAAATGAACATATCACCTCAACATCGACAGGTGTATCACTGAGTCTTTTGCTAAGATTTTCCATTGTGATACTACAGTGCATGACTTTTCAATGCATTTTGAAATGAAATGTTGTCATCTATTTTCATATCTTACAAAAAAAAACAGACTAATATAAATAATAAAGGAAATTTACACACAACCACAGGTTATAATTTGAAATACAATCGATGTTAGCGAGACATTAAGCTTGCACTGTACAAATTACATAGAATGTACAGCACAGGAAAAAAAATGCTGTTTAGTCCAAGTGGTACGAGTACGCATTTATGCTCCGTATAAACCACTTTCTATCCACTCTTCATCCAACGTTATCAGCATAACCTTCGATTCTTTTCTTCCTAATGTGTTTCTCTAGTTTCCCCTTGAATGCATCTATCCTATTCACCACAATTACTCCTTGTGGCAGCTATATACGTTTATTAAATTCAGTGAGTGGGTTACAACATTTGATTTCAAAATGTAATGAAAACGCCTACGCTGCAGTCGCACAATGAAAGTTTCATCATAATTTCTATATTCTGCTCATTCTCCAGGTAAACAGACATCTCTGAATTCCCATTTGGATTTTTAGAATTTATGATTTTTTAGTTCTGGTGTTCACACAATGAAAAAATATTCCCTACATCTACACTGTCAAATCCTTTCATAATTTTAAAGATATTAATTAGGTGACCTCAATCTTCTCAATTGTAGAAAGAAATGTCTTGCCAGTTTGTCAGAGGGAAAAAAAAACTTTACCTTAAAGTACTGCCAGTCTTTGTATACATCCATGTTACAGTGTGTAATCATAACCTTTGAGCCATCAGGTCCTCTGGTCAAGCACTGGTCATACTGCATCAATTGGTTGGCTTCATTGATTCGAAACAGCTGGAAAACAGTGTTCACTTTGTGAAGCTCCAAGTTTTTGTTCATTTCTAACAACTAATACCAGGATCAAAACAACTTTATACCTACAAGAATGTTCCTTAGTTTCAAACCATCTATAAAACTGATAATACCATTTACAAAAAGAGATTCAGAAACGGTCAGATAAGCAGAAACACAGAATGTAAATCTATAGCAAAAAAAATTTTGAGGACATAATGAATAGGATCCAAAGAAGGGTATAAACAGGAGAACCACAATCCACATTATACAGGGTTCTAGTTTCTTGACTTATCTCTGCCCAGTTGCAGCCTGTGCCTTCTAGCACACTCCAGACTACGTGTTACCCGGGTGCTTTCTGAAGCTCCCAACTGAGGATATAAGCAAGATTTGATGGTGGATCGTGGAGAGAAGGGTGCCATCTTAGATTATGGACCAGAAATTCCTTTCCTTTAGTGCTATTCCATTCTTGAGCCATAGACTGGAATTCTCACAAAACATTACTTCCTTTTAAAGCATACAACACAGAGATTCACTTCAAAATAGTATTCAGACAGAAGCTGCAACAAAGGAAGGGGTATTATCTTAGGATGGTATGGCCAGAAGTGAATGGATGGTAATGGTGGTAACAAATGGTACAGATGTCAAAAGAAGGCATAACTGGGAAATGAGAGAGGCAAGAAACGATCATTTGGCAATGAGATAAACTGACAGCACTATATTTTTAGCAGAACAATAGTTAGTAAGGTTGCAGGGGTGAATGGAATATTGACTAGTTTAGTAGGTTTAAAAGAGTATCAGCAAATGGGGTGGGGTGGGGAAGGGGGAATATGAAATGAAAGGATTGGAAGAGGACAGTGTGCATCTACAAAAGGCTGGAGTTGAACTGGGTACAGTATCTCTGTACATGGGGTAACAGGTTGAATGTGAGGGAATTGCATCATTTGCCAAATGGTACACAAATACGGGATAAAGCTAGAATTAATATAGCAGAGGTTATTTTAAATGCCAATTTTGTTTGTAGTTTCCTTGATATTTACATGTAATTTTCTTCTGTCAGTATACCTTAAGGAGCAAAATGTCACTTCAAATTTTCAGTTAATGGGAGAATGTTTCAGGATTCAGGGGTTTGGTGATTTCCATTTCTTTCAAAAAGAAGAAAAAGCTGTGTGCTAGAAGTAGCTTTTTATTAGATACTCATTCAAAGAATGTGAGCGTTGTATTTATTGCCCTTAATCGAGTGGTTTGCTCAGCTATTTCAGAGGACAGTTAAGAGTCAGCAACGTGCCTCTGGATTTGAAATTTCATCTCAAATCAGACTTGGTAGAGGTAGCATAATTTCTCAGCTGAAAAGGATAACAGTGAACCAGACGAATTTTTTAGAACAATCTAGTAGTTCGTGGGTATATTATTCATACTGGCTTTGTTATTCTACATTCATTGATGAAATCTCTAGAATCCATTGTGAAATTTGAGCTCGTGTCTCCAGATCATGAATGAAAAGGTTCTGGATCACCAGTCCAGTGATTCCGGATCACCAGTCCAGTCACACAGATACTATCCTTCAACAAAAAAATTGCAGGAGAAATTCAGCAGGTTTGGCAGCATATGCAGAAAGTAAAAGAGTTAACATTTCAAGTCCAGTGACCCTGCATTAGATTAGGCTGTTACACTATCCTACCGCTCTAATGAGATTGATGGATTACTGACTCACGCTCCCCCTGCATTTAATTAACCAGAATGCAGGAAATTATCATCTTCGTTAACAAGCATTTCTCATGCATTCATTCAACACTTTGGCTGCCTAAATCTCAAGCAAAGACAAATATCAAAATTACCATCTCTGACTTGTCATTCACTAAATTTATAGGCATTTTGCTGATTAATGTATAAATCAGTTGTTAGATGAAATTCATACTCTTTCACTTGTCATTGTGAAGTTGGCATAGTTACCTGATTTCCTCCCATTCTGTGGCAAGGTCCCAGTTCAACAAACCCACCATTGGTATGGCCCATGCTGTCTATGCAATAATCGGATTCATATCCTCTGATCTGAAATGAAAAGGTGAAAGGTTCATAAAAAAAATATGCAAATACATGCAATTATTGAACTCTCTTGAATTATTAACTTGTATGTAGGGTAGTCAGAGTCAGACAAAAAGTAGGATGTCCAAAGCTACACTTCAGGGATGCTTGCAAGCAAGCGTGATATGAAGAACGGAGGCAATGATTTTCAAATCTGGGAGCCACAAGCTGATGGTAAGACGAACACAGTGACACTATCTATGGTCTGATGTTCAATACCATGACGACCAGTGGCTACAGATAAAACCATAAAAAAAAAGCAGAATTAGGCCAATCAGGCCATTGAGTCTGCTCTGCCTTTTGATCATGGCTGATATGTTTCTCAACCCCATTCTCATGCCTTTTCCCCATAACTCTTGATCCCATTACTAACCAAAAACATATCGGTCTTAAATACAGCAACGAAAATAAATCACAATGACACTTGGTAGCTTCTATAGTGGCAGGAACATGCCTGTTAACAATTGGCCTCTTCAACCATCAGCAAAAGGAAGACACTATCTGAAATGAATTTGTTTGCTGTGTCCATTTTCTTTCATAAAAGGATGCTGGAAAATATTAACCCATGCTTAAGGATTTGGGTAAACTTATTTAATTATTGGTCCATACTTTAGAACTGGCACAAATAGGGGTCACTTACAAAGGTTCCAAATCAAGTTTACAAAGACTTGCATCAGGTTCTTAACATAGATCCGGTTGCAAAAGTGAAAGGTTCACAGCACAGTTCTTCTCTTCTACACCCTCACAATGTGCTCTCAAACCCCATCCTTCTTTTGACACTGAAGGTGACAAATTCACTCTGGAATACAGCCCCAGCAGCCTTCTGCAATCTCTCAAATTCAGTCACAGGGGAGTCTAAAAAGCGTGAACGCAGGCAAGTTGCATTTTCATTGGCCGCACTATTGCCAATTAAGCTCGGTTCTCAACTGCTGGCCCAATCTCAGCAGACTTCCCATTTTGCGAGGGGTTTGGGCATAGCCAATTAAAGTATTAAAGCTAGTGGCTTGGCCGAGACAGTTCCTGCAGATTAAATCTGACTTCTTCATTTATAAGGCTAACATACTGCATCATGGCAAGATGCAGTGCCAGAGTTGCAACCAATTATTGACTAAATCTGCAATGTTACAATTAGGTTGTAGACAGCAGTGACTTTTCTCATGACACTTCTGGGGAATTATTATCAATAACTGCTATGTGAAAAAAACTCCAACATCTAATCTAGATTGAATATGCAATAGAAATATTACCTCTCCCCATTCTACATTTTTAGCTGGTAATGGGTAATGGTCTGGAATGTCATAAGCTATTTCTTCCATAAACCATTTAAAACTCTTGCAGTTGTGTTCTTCACGAAATTTCTTGAGCTCAGATATATCTCCGTGAGCCATGGCTTTTGTTTCTGGACGACTTGCATAAAAATAGTCGGCGTATTCATCCCACCAAACTTCAACAACACGAACATAATTCTATAAAAATAGTAATGTTAATAAAATAATTTTAGGTTCTATAAAATAGTAATGTTAATAAAATAATTTTAGGTTCTATAAAATAGTAATGTTAATAAAATAATTTTAGGACTAGCGTGAGATCAAAAGGTGAAAAATTATTCAAATGCCTCCAAAACTGAACCAAGATGAGACAAAATAATTTGGTTCAAAATATTCAGAAAATGCAGACCACCATGAGATAACTTTGGAAACTGAAATGCTAGACCTCCAAGTTGTGAGAGTGAAGATGTAGTGAAACTAGCATTTGCTATTAGATCCACAGGCTGTGGAATGAAAACACTGATTTCCACATGTAATCAGTACTTCATCTTATTTCACTTGTCTGTATGTGGCCTGGTGGCTTTTGTACGGTCTCTTCAAGATTGCTGCCTGGTGTTGCAGCGAGTATCAGAAGAGAATATTAGCTGTTTGAGGCCTATTTTTTGCACTCTGTGGTACCAGGGAAAATGTTTAATTAAAGACGATAGTCATCTCATGGGTTGGTAATATAATCGCGATCCATTTAACCAACAGTAACGCGAGAAGCAGAAAGCTATTCCAACTCAATACTTTTATGTAATAATTCCAAAAGGAAGCACCAGAGATTCACCACCCGTATCAAGTACTTGGTGGAAGAGGAACAAATTTACGAGAAAATTACACACAAGTGTAAACATCATAGTTATAATGGGTGACTCTAATTACCTGAATGTAGACTGGGACACTGGTAGTGTAAGGCATAATGTGATGCAGATGTTACTTAATTGTGTTCCGGAGAATTTTTTTTTCCAGCAGAGCGTGTCAAGTCCAAGAGAGACAGTTAGACCTCGTACTTGGGAATGAGGTGGGCCAAGTAGATCAAGTGACAGGGACGGATTATTTGGAGGACAGTGCTCAGTTTATCACAAATCGTGAGGAGAACAGTGGAAAGTGATGTCGGTCAAAAATAATCAACTGGCAGAGAGCAGACATCAATGGGACAAGAACAGAGGTAGACTGGATAGGCAGGAACCGGAGGTTGGCAGGAAGAACAGCAGCTGAGCCATGAGCTACTTGCAAAGAGGAGATGGTTTGTGTAGTCCAGGTATATTCGCTGAAGAGAGGAAGGTAGGACAAACAAATACAAAGCTCCCCGAATGGCATATGTGATTAAAATTAAATAAAAAAAAAGAGAAAAAAATTCCTGCATAGCCAGTCCACCAACGTTCTCGTCTCCTCTTTGCAAGTAGCTCATGGCTC